ATGGCGTCTGCAGCATCAGCAACATTTCGCCTCACTCAGCCTTCTTCCTCGTCTTCTTCTTCTCCCAGACCAAAACCTCATTTCACCCTCCCCTACAAACCTTACGTTTTTTCACCTATTCCCAAATACCCAAAACTCCAAATCGCTTCGAAGTCCATTGATGTCTCCAAAGAAGACAAACCCATCTTGGATCCGCCAACAGAACCGGTAGAGACCACAGAAGAATTCGATAAACGCAGACTAGAAGAGAAATTCGCAGTCCTAAACACCGGAATTTACGAGTGCCGGTCGTGTGGATACTTGTACAACGAAGCCGCCGGAGATCCATCTTACCCGATCGCACCTGGTTTGCCGTTCGATAAATTGCCGGACGATTGGAGGTGTCCGACATGTGGCGCTGCGCAGACGTTCTTTCAGAGTAAGAGTGTGGAGATTGCGGGGTTCGCTCAGAATCAGCAGTTTGGTTTAGGGGGTAACACGCTCACCTCCGGCCAGAAGGCGATTCTGATCTACGGTAGCCTTTTCTTCTTCTTTGTATTGTTCTTGTCTGGTTATTTTCTTCAATGAAACACATATATGGTGGTGGTAACTGGTAACGGTATAGTTTTAAAGAATTTTTGTAATCTGTATACCCTTCTCATATAAGTTCTGAATCCATTGTTCAGAGGTGAATGCAAAATCTTTTGGAGGTGAATGAATATATGTATATGTAAGAGATGTGGGTAGGATTTTTTTTTTGAGGTTCTTGATGATTGATATGATTGTTGATATCTGTTCTTCAATTTCTCGATTCAAGAGTATGTATGATAGATATTAATGGAATAAACTGTGTTTAGATAATAAAAATCTCCTCAAGCTACGAACATTTGCCTTTAATTGGATTGATTGTAGGGCTATGGTGAAAATAAACTAGAAACTATCCTACATTTCACTAGACATGAGTTACATGACTTACGAACACTCTAGGGCTATTTCTGAACATTACAGGGAGTAGGGCATTAGCATCTTTTGTATAAGATCTCACTTTCATTTTGAGTAGAGGTGACAATTATGTCGTGTCGAAACACTAAACGGGTTGAAAGTGCTTAACCTTAATCCGATCCGTTTAATTAACATGTCGTATCATGTTAACCCGTTTATTTTCGTTCGAGTTCGTGTCGGGTTTCATGTTAGGGGTATACCTTGAAATATGTCATATCATATAAGGTGAAAAGATTGAACTTGTTGAAAAGTAGGAGTTTGGTAGACGGAAAAGAAAAAGTAATAGTTTGGAGGCGGAATAAATGAAGAAGTCATAGCAAGTTCAGATGACAAATTGAAAGAGTGGGAGCTGGGGAGGCGGAAGACAAGGTCATGAGGATACGATAGTGGTCAAAGGGACTATGTAGTTTGGAAGAGAATGGAAAAACTAAAAATAAAGTCTTGATTTAGACGGCTTAATCTAGGGCTGGCAATTCTCGACACGACACACGACACGACCCGCGACACGACACGAAATAGATGGGTTTGGGTTGAGTTTTTCAACCCGCCAACCCGTCAACCCGCCAACCCGTTTATTAAATAGGTCATATATGGGTTTCTCAAAAAATAAACGGGTTGACCCGCCAACCCGTTTATATTCTTAATAACTTTTTTTTATATTTTTAAATGTATTTATGTATCAAGTATTAATATTTAATAAATATTATATAATATATACAATTTATTCATAGACCATTTGATTGTTTTGACATTATTACTCGTAGTGGATAGTCTAAGGTTATAAGTTGTAACCTATAAGGTTAAGTCTGTAACATGTTTCTATGAATGTTTTTAATTTTCATTTGGATGTTTAAGACTTAAATATCTAAAATTTGGACCCACGAACCCAAATCTGACCCATGAATCCGCCAACTTGTGAACCCGTATAAATAAATGGGTTGGTAGGTCATATATGGGTTTATGTTCCAAACCCGCCAACCCGTGACCTGTATAGTTAAATGGGTCGTGTTTGGGTTGGCATATTTTGACCCGCCAACCCACCAACCCGCGACACGCCAACCCGAACACGACACGATTGCCAGGCCTAGCTTAATCATTTCAATATTACAAAACGACTAAATTCGAAGGTTTTCTTTTACTTATGGTATTGGTTTTGTATCTTTCTAGTTTATTTAAATAATTCAAAAAAGTTGCATATAAATAAACGAGTCATTTGCGTGTCATATTCCGGTTGAAATTTTCAACCCTAACCTTACTCGTTTAATTTTCGTGTCGTGTCAACCCGTTTATTTAAACGGGTTGTAATATCTTATCCAAACCCGTTTATTTTGTATCGTGTTAATTTTTGCCACCTCTAATTTTGAGTATGACAAATCTTTACATTTTTTGTCATTGACATCCGTCTAAAGGGACTGAAACATGCATTAGTTTGTACTAAATCAAGGAGTTTGTGAGGCTTCTTGTATTGCATTTGTTTGTACTCAAGTACTATTCCATCATTGCATGGACAATGTTTAGTCCTTGATGTTAAATATTGTCTCGCGACATTTGCATGACTATGGGGCTTGCATTAAGAAGCAGTGACAAAACCATCACTGCTCAATAGGGGTGTAAGTGAGCCGAGCTACTCGGGATCGACTCGTTAAAAGCTCGACTCGAGATCGAATTAAACGAGCCCGAGCCGAGCTCGAGCCTAAATATGAGGCTCGTTTATTAAATGAGCTCGAGCCGAGCTTCAATTAATGGGCTCGCGAGCCTAAACGAGCTTAAACGAGCCTCTCTCTCTCTCTCTCTCTATATATATATATATATACACACACACACACACATACATACATACACACACAGACACACACACACACACACACACATATATATATATATATATATATATATATATATATACACATAGAGGCTCGTTTATGCTCGATTAGGCTCGCGAGCCCACTAAATTATTCATGAGCCGAGCTCGAGCTCAAGCTTCCTCAAATTAAACGAGCCGAGCTCGAGCTTTGTCAGGCTCGGGCTCGGCTCGGCTCGTTTACACCCCTACTGCTCAACGTGCTTTACAAAAATTCGGTGTTGAAACCGGATTTCATGTGGTGGAAATCTTTGTCGTGTGCTTAAAAGAATCTGGTTCAAAAACCATATCTATGTTATATTCAAAGTATTGGTTGTTTAAAGAAAATGTCACTTCAAAAAATCATTCACCTTGGTTCGACCAACTTCAAACTTTTTAGCCATCACATGTTATTATTTTATTTTTAGGTAACTAAATCATTTTATAGATTTAAAGTTGTGGTTGCTATATGTTAGATTTTGGGGGTCTAAAGAATATTAATATAGAAGTCGGGCCACTTTCAAATCCAAAACACATAAAGTTTTATGCTATTTTGCGTTTTGAGAGATGGAAAGAATCCGATGAACATATTTCAAGTACATAAAATATAACTATTTTTTTTGGAACATGCAGTCTATTTTTATACAAGAAAGAAAGTAGTTAAATGGTGGTTATATGCAAAACACAGAAAGTTTTCTGCTATTTTGCGTTTTGAGAGATGGAAAGAATCCGATGAACATATTTCAAGTACATAAAATATAACTATTTTTTTTTTGGAACATGCAATCTATTTTTATACAGGAAAAAAAATAGTTAAATGGTGGTTATATGCATTTTGGCGCCAAAATGGTGGTTGAAGGTTAGTTATATGACATTACCGATTATTACATCATAATGATGTCATTAACTCTTGGACCTCGTAAGGGGTGCTGCCGTTTGGAACCTGTAACCAGGGGCGTTGCCCCCAGATCCTGTATTTTCGAGTTTATATTTATCACTCCGAGTGTACATCCTGTATCACATGTTTCGGTGAGTAAAATGGAGTTCAGTCTATCTTGATATTAATAATAACTATACTAAAATATGTTGATAACAATAAAATTACCAACACTATAAAGAGAATACTGGAACATGATGGGAAAAATTAAACCCAAAATTCATAATCAATCTAATAAAATATTTATCTAACATATAATAAGGTATTTGTATATTCATAGAAAAACTATAAATATATTATTAGTCTTTAAGACCTAAAAAGTAGACAAAAATATGGTTAATATCATAAAAGCTCTTAAATTTTCAAAAAAAATATTTGGTTTTACCCTTTGACGTCTTTTGGGTTCACTAAAACCAAAACTTTATGTAAAACAATTTATTTGTCTTTTTAGCAGGTTATCCGGTAACCAACAGTTTGCCTACACATGACTTCAAAAGTTAATGGCTTTTATGACTATATATATATATATATATATATATATATATATATATATATATATATATATATATATATATATATATATATATATTGTAACGTCCCAAAAATCCGAACCAAAATTTTTTCTTTAAATCATTACCAAAGCCATATTCATAAAAACATATCATAAGTCATAACATGAATTCATAGTATCATTTCCAAAACATATTTTCATTATCAGAGTAAACATCTCAGACTGACTAATCAATAGTGTGTGCCATGCGATCACCCCGAGCTCTTCCCTCCGCTACCGGAACTACCTGAAACCAAAACTGAAAACCGTAAGCACGAAGCTTAGGGAGTTCTCCCAACCTACCACATACCCTACTTAAACACATACTGCACATATTGGGCCACGCCCGCTATTCCGGGCCTCGCCCGCTACAACGGCCCCGACGCTCCAGGCCCCGCCTGGCTTCGAGTCCCGCTCGGATACATATCTGCTTCACTTAGGCCTCGCCTGGCACTGGGCCTCGCCCGCTAACATATACTAACACATAAACATATCACAACACATAAGCTAAACATATACTAATGAATCATGTCCTAAGGCATCGCCTATCTTGGGCCTCGCCCTTGTCCTGCTACTGATGAGTCATGGAACCCCGTCCACGCTCCTACTGGTAGTGAGATACGGGCCCAGCCCACACTCACTCTTTCCCTAACTTGGGTCTCGCCCCTGCTCTGCTGCTAATGAGATGTGGAACATCGTCCATACTCTGCTATTGGTGAGATTCGGGACTTCGCCCACACTCACCTCCCTACCAGGCACATACAAGTATCACACAGACAACAAGTCTACTCTATCATGCAAACCATTCCTTGGGCACCCGCCCGCTATCAATGTACCTTGGTCCTAAATATCATACTGGCATACAGTGCCTAGGGCTAACCCCTGGGTCTTCCTACTTATATCTACATGGGCCGGCATTGTGGTCTTAGACCCATTCACACAAAGGGAAACTCACCTACACTGCTGAACTTTTGTTGATAACCCTCTGACTGCTGGTCGATAGTTCTCTGAACCGCTGCTCCACTAGCTCCTCGAGCTACCAATATCAATATACATAACACTTAGAACCAAATAGAACTCTAGAAGCCAACTAAGTCCACTCTTGACAAAGTCAAAGTCCTGGTCAAAGTCAACCTTCCTGACTGGTCCTACTCGTCGAGTCAACCTGTTGACTCGTCGAGTCCTTATACTCAGAAACTCACACAATACATCTCAACTCGCCGAGTCACCCCGAGACTCGTCGAGTTCAACGATCTCTGAGTCCCATCCTGCCCAACTGTAACGACCCGTTTCCGGTATGTTAATTAATTTGATTTGGGCTAAGTTTTCAAGAGGGACTCGGCGAGTTCTAGCCTGACTCGCCGAGTCGGGTCGCGCATCTTGTGCACG